ATGTCATGCGAAAGCCAACCTAGAAGTTAGTCAATTTTTTATTAAACCAATACTTTTTGTTTTTATTCCTTCGCGTTCCCAGTGGAACATAGGGCTTCAAGCTAGAAGCTTGCAGTTTCTGCAGCAGTGTTTATTTTTACAGGATGGGGTTGCTAGCCTCATGCCCAACCTTTTCCTCTTTGCCAGCTTTTTTATTTCTGGTTTAGCGAGGCAAAGGAGTACGTCGGCCGGGGATAGAACCCCGGACCATATGCATGATCGGCGAGCGTCCTAACCGCTATACCACCAACGCAAACCGATGCTTAAAGACTGGAAAACGATAGGGTTTTGAGAGTGAAATCATACCTGTTGATAGTGAAGTAACATTGGTAAGGTTAACCAGTGAACCGCTTGTACTTTACTTCCGCTTTGATAAATGAGCGATTAGAAAAGGTCAGCTGCAAAAAGTATAGATCCAAGTACAGCTTACAACAGCCAATAATATCATTCTTTATATGAGGGAAATTTCAAAAATTCCAACCCATTTTCAACAAATCGCAACTGGAATCAAAGAGGTATCATTGTGACCTAAGATTGAGCGAAGCTTTTCTGCTCACTCTTCGTGATAATCACATAGAAGAGGTCAACTTCACCGTTTGGGTAACACGGGATTACCAACTTCCCATATGTCACTGTTCAACATACAAAATTCATCTATATACCACCTGTTCTCTTCATCCTTTTCTCTCGTTTATCCTCACTATCTTTTCTTTCTCCGCTAATACAATTGTTCTATTGACTCTGAAATCATTCCGAATTGAACCTGGAAAGGGATACCTCTAGTCCCCTTAAACTATTCTACCAACAGCATAATGATACTTCTAAAGTCCTAACCTTATATCAAGTCGGAGGCAGGGTTTTATCAGGCGAAAACTCTGATATTTCAGACTACAATCGTATATTTCTCAGGCACATGAACAGCACACAAAATAGAAGACCTCACCTGACTACTATAGAGAATCTGAAAAAATCCACTCGACGAATATCAATGGATTATATAACCAGTTGTTTTTAGACCCACAGGTGTAAGAGTAGTATTAGACTATAGACTAAAAGTCTCACTGCTCAAATGGACATAGAGTGAAGTTGTTAAAGTTACTGATCACCGTTTCTTAAAACAACGATTAAGACTGAAGTAGGATTGAGTTGAACATATAAGAGTGATCAAACTGGAGGAGGTCATGTGAAGAGGAGATGAAAGCATGTGAGCAGACTTGGAGCGGGGTGAAAAAGTTGGCAGAAAACCGAAGGCAATGGAGACGCGCAGCTGAAGCCCTATGTTCCTCTAGGAATTAAAGGATATAGTAATAATAATAATAATAAATAAACTGTTATTAAAGCTGTCTGAAAGTCAAAATTACAAACAACAATTTACGCCAATGTTTACGTACCGAATCAGGGTCATGAGACAAAACAAGAAGAAAGCCCAACCTTGAGGAACTCAACAACCAATCACAGCAGACTCAGTGTGTGCAAATACGATTTGCAGATATATGGACAACGTTGTAAGCAACGGTCACAAGCAGTACAGAATAAGCTCCAACAAGAAAAACCAATAAGAAGACGTTGCTTCTCTACTAGAATAACGAATAATAATGTACAAAAAAGTCTATAAATATCTTTTGATTTTCTCAATAAATGATCCGTTGCCTGGGCCTTGTATTTTGTCGTGACATAACTATAAATTCGCGGATAGTTGGTCTGAGTGATGTAAAACGCTTCTTTGAAGTGCCTAAAATGTCAGGAATCAATGGCTTTTGGCCACGTGGATGGAAATCACTTACAACAAGTTGGACAACGCAGTCATCATCACCTTTGAAGTTTAAAATACCCTTATTTGTCCTTGGTTTTAGAACTTATCTCTGAATAAAGTAAGGGTTTCAAGCATTCTAGGGAATACACTGTCGTTATAACTGCAGTCAATCATTTATCTCTAAAATAACAACAGCTGAAGAAACATTTTAACAAAAACTACTTGACGTAAATGGCAAATGTTTTTAACGTTGTTGTTAACCTAATTTTTGTCATGAGCCAATATAATCCAGACAATAAAAACCAACAACCGAGAAGCATTGAAATGAAAATGAAAGGTTGCTCAACAACCACTTGCATTTACATACAGCTAGCAATGAGCCACATCTATCCAATAAAGGCTAATGAAACCACTTTACTGCCCGAAACTCGACAAATACGGTGGGGTTCAGACCCGTCAACCAATAGTTGGAAGTGAAGCACGAAATCCAATGAGTTCCAGATAAATGTATTAGGTGGCTGAGATTAACCTAGAAAAGAAATCTTCCTTAGAAAAATATATCGCTTGTGATGTTTGCAGAACACGAACTCGTAGAGCATCAGACAGATAAATAACTTAGGAAGCTCTATCACTTTCGATCTGATGACCTGTATCAACGCTGTGACCAAACACAGGAAATCAAGAAACACAAGTATACACATAATCAACCTGCACAGACCAAATACTCGACTACAAAAACAATAATAGTCCAACAGCATAAAAATGAAACTATGAGCAAGCATTATTTAAAGGAGTCAAAACATACACCGGAGCACACCAGTTCTCAGGAGAATGGAAAATAAACATCTAGTGATTATATTCAAGAAAAATGAATACAATTTCATGGAGAAATCTCCAAACTCGAATCAAACTACAAGCAAGAAACCATCCTCAGGAATCACGAGAAAATTTATCCTACTACACTGTTTCTGAAGTAACGGCTAGAATACTAAAATCCTGCAGAATATGCATCACACATAAATCAACACAATCACATCATTCAATAACTATGCAGACCAAAATACCCACCGAACAGCAAAAGAAGACTTGATCAAAACCATCTACAGAATAAATTACATTAATTGTGATAAGCATCGATATGGATTCAATGGGTGTCCGCTTCGACTCCAAGTCCACGGACATAAATTAGCAGTCAAAAGACATGACGCGTGTTCTTTCATGTCAATGCACGTAAACAGATTTGAATACCGATTGCAACGAAAAAATATAAAAAATTTTAACAGTATAAACACAAAAAGTGCTGTCAAGGGATTCCTAGGAACCTGGTACTCAGACAAATCTGAAACCAACAGACACATTAGAATAAATCAAATTTATCAAAAAATATGCGATCAATAATTATGCCAGTTACCGACGAATTATAACAATGATTTTCAGGAGACAGAATTGTATAATTCATGATGAAATCAAATGAGTTCACTGCGTATTGAAGTTGACGCGTTGAAGATGTTGCCCAGAAAGACAATGAGTGTGGCTGCATAATTAATCTACTCAACTCAGAGAACACAACTACATCAAAATCATCCACCTGAGCTATAAATCTTCATTATTATTTTAAAAAGTGAACTAATCTTGGATATCTTAATTATTTTCACCTCTGCCTAGTCATCGCCTTCCTCGACGGGCAATCTTAGCTGATATAGGGTCAGGCTGGAAAGGAGCCAGTGGTGGTCGAACCAAAACATGGTTTCATCAGTCAATCAAATCCACAACAGTTAATTTAGGCCAGCCACGTAGGAAGCTGTAGACTTCCTGGTTGGGGTCATCGGGACGGTAAAAACTAATGGTTGGAAACAATTGGTGACATGGCTCAAAATCGTTCTCGATGGCGCAGATGCATCCACTCCTTGTGACTTATGATTTCAGATGAAACTATATTGCTCTTCGTTATTACTATTCCTTTGTCTCACATCTCTGTTTACTGTCTCTATTATGCATTTCTTCTACTTTCTTCTCTTGCTTTGTGTGTTACATGGAGGGAGTATGGGGACTTGAACTGGTGCACATCTGTGCAAAGTTCTATTTCGAAAACAGACAGACAGACATTTTCACCTCTGCTACACATCAAAACTGATCATTCTTGTTGACTAACACATTACTGCATACATGATTGGCATAATTTTGATATAAGACTTTGAGGTGCAGATGAAAAAAAAATTAAACACCGTTATAACTGAAAACTATAAGGATGATGACGACTTGGGCCTGGTTCAACAGGTGACATGAAAGAGACTATGTGAGGAGGAGGAGGAAGAAGAAATGAGAGTTTATGAGCAATCATGCAGCCAGCTAGAAAGGACTGCAGAGAGCAGAATGAAATGGGAATGTGCTGGTGAAGCCCCATGTTACACTAGGAACCCAAGAGAATAATAATAATAAATATAATGGCGTCTTCAATAAGTACAGATTACTAGTGTAATGGATTAGGATTCAGACCATCCGAATCAGAACTATTAATCTGGCACACATTAGTACCAGACACCACGGAAATCATCACAGGTAATGCTCAGCTATCATTTATGCGAATGAATGATTACGTTAGTTTCCACTTAAGATTATCACACTAGCTGCTAGATGGGTGGTTAGTTCGGTCTTCTCCTGCCAAGCAGTTCTCTGGTTATACTGAATTAGGTAAAAGGAGAGGAGCATATTGCTAACTGATGGTCAAACTGTCTACGTTCCATACCCCAGCTTTTAAAGAGCTCGTTGGCCGAACTTCACCAGTTCAAATATTTCGGAGACCAATACACTACATCGACAGCACTCTACTAATCAATCGCTATCCCAGATCGACTGACCATTCAAAAAATGTATTTCTCATTCCACTGGCGTTCAAAATGGAATATCGGGCTTCAAGATTGAGCTTTGAAGTTTGACTGTGGCGGTAGTGTTTTCTTTTTAACACAGCGTCGCGTTACTAGACGCATGTCTATTTTTCCCTCTCTACAGAGCTTACTACCAACTGAGCGAGGTTTAAGAATGTGTCGGCCAAATATCAAACCAGCACCACTTGCAATATAGTTTCGTTTGGCAGGCATTCTACTGCCGAACCAGCAACCATTAAAATTATTATCATTATTAAATGGATGGAAGTATCATATTCGAAAATTTGTTTTATAAAAAAATAATTCATATCTATTACACCTACCTGCATACTAATATATTGCCATTATCTAGTCGTGCACGATGAATAAAATCATTGGACAGTTGAATTTGTTTCAGCAAACTATTCTCCAATTTCTCATTCACAATTAGATGTAAATATTTACGACTGACTGACTATAATAGTGATTGATGTTGATTTACGAAATGGAGGAAAACAAGAGAAAAACGAAAAAAAAGTCAATAAAAGATAAATTCAACAGGAAAAAGGGAAAAAATTGACAATTCAAATGTTGGTCTGACTGACACCAGTTAGAGAACCAACGAAAACTAAGGAGTACTGGACTGCTGTTTCATCCTAGTTCACGAATCTTCAACAGTACGAACTCAGGACCTTCGGATTACAAAGTGAGCTTATTAACCATTCAGCAGTGGGGACGGAATCCGATGGCCCATCATTTCTAGCAATCTACTGCTCACTAATGACTGACTACAGGATGAAGCTACAAGAAGTGCTAACGGGAAGTTGTGACTAGTGGGATTCACGAAGTTTGGTCAGGGGAGAAATATTCTTGGAAGACATTGGCTGGGGGTCGCCCTGTGTGTTTGTGAACTGACGGAGGTTAGAATTAATTAGGTTCCGTTTCACTGGCTGAATGATCACCGAGCTCGCTTGGGTCCGATTCCTGACAGGACTAAGGGTATATATTGTTGAAAAATCCCAAACAAGGATTCCCTGGTAGTTTTCAATAGTTATCTGACTGAAAATGGTTCGTGATTTAACTACCTAGGAGACTGGGTAGTATTAACAGGTCTCACACAGTATAAATGTTAATCATAGCCTAATATATAGAAAGGTGTTCAAACATAAAAGATAATATCATGAGTTTAGTCCTTAGAAGTATTGGTGCTGAGTGATTTCTATCGATCAAATTTGTAATGTGATCAAAGACAAGCTCGCCTTTGAAACGCACCTATTTCTATCACATAAAAATATTACTTACGAAAATTACTTTTGCACCAAAGTGTTTCGAGTAGAAAGAGAGGGGGAAAGAGTAATATAATGTACTTGATCGGATCAGTTAAGTGCACTCTATATAACTTCCCTTTTTGTAGTTTACTCCGATTTCAGCTAACACATGACAATACATCATACTATAAATGTGACTACTAACTAATGAATCCAAAGTCTATTGTATTCAGGTACACTACTTTAAGCAGTATTTGAAAATAGAAAACAGGAAACCCAGAGTACACATATGTATACCTTAGATCTTAAAAGCTACATTGGACGAAGCAGCATGATCAATAATATTAAAATTGGGCGTAAAAAATTTAAGTAAGTAGACGTAAGTCTATGAGGTGGATAAATTCTATCCATTAAGTTGGCTAAGATTTGTATTATGTATGCTAAGCAACCACTACCTTCCATGACGAAAACGACTAGTAGTAATTACATCAAAACTTAGCATTGAGTCATGAAGTTATTGACCGTTGGTATGACTCATCAACAAGTTCACAGGGATGTGAATAACGTCTATGTAGATTCCATTAAGAAGCAACATTCATCAGATAATCTCTGGAAACCACGGAGTACTGCACAACTGTTTCATGATCATAAGATATGGGTTATAAGTACCAAACATGATTACAAAAAAATGAGGACATTCTTAGAATTTTTTAAAATTTTGATCACAGCTTGATTCCACACCGTATTTTTGGTACAAGTATAAAATTTTCAGCATGCAATATCGGTAGCCAAAATTTTGCAGGCCGACTAAAGATATCAGGTGTGCGTCGGCAGGTGATCGAACCCCGGACCATGTGCATGGTCGGCGAGAGTCCTGTGCCACCGATGCATAAAAGAATGATACGACCATAATAAGAAATCATGAACATACAGACAACAGGAAGTCCGGGAGGTCTGGATTCGATTCCCGGCCGAAGTACTCCTACACCTCACTTAGCCGGTCGTAGTAAAGGTAGGAAGCTTGAGGTGTGCGAGTAGGAACCTCACCCCGTAAAAGGAACAACACTGCTACTGAAACATAACATCTTGAAGCCCTATGTTCCAGTTGGAAAGCGATGAATGAAGAAAATATTCAAATAAAAAGAAACTTTATCCCTTTCAAAATGTGTAAACTAAGTAGTTGCATGGTAATGCCAGTTTTCAAAGTGGTTTAGTCCCCTATTCCAAGTATAATTCCTAAATTCCATTTATAAAAGCTACTACATATGCATATCTGTCAAAGCAGATTTACAATTTGGAATTTCAATTCACTTATTAAAAGAACGACTTGAGAAAGAAACAGAAACAATGAAGACGAGTAAGCATACTTATCAAGAATATTCAGATAAGGTTTTACAACCATATTTCACTTTTAGCTAGAGAGGACGAAAATCTCCGAGCATGTGGTTTCAGGATAGTCGTGTTATATATACGACACTGGATATCAGCATTCTGGAGATGTATACTCAAAACGGTACGGACAGATTGAGATTTCAGACAATGGTGAAAGGCTGACGAAGGTGAAGACACTGGGAATAAGGATGGTAAAAAATGAAAAATAAAACGGTTCATGTGAAAAAAATTAAATCAAAACAGAAACAAGTAGTTGCATTAAGGGAGCACTCCTCGAGTCTTTGAGTGAAATTACCATCCACAAGCTGATGAAGCAGTGTCGGCAACTGCATTCCCACGGTTGCCAGAGACTAAAACAGGTTCCATATGCCATTCAACTCTTTCGAATTCTGGAGCTCATATGCATGGGATTACGGTTTTCAATTTCCCCTTGGTGGACCTCCATGTCCACTAATCCGATTATAGGCGCTGGACTTTCGAATTACTGAGTCGCATAATCTCCTAAACCCCAATCAGGATATCATGGTATACTAACAGTTGCTAAGACAACCATCTCACATTCTACGGCATCACAGTGCGGATTGACTACCTCTTCACTTTCGCCAACTAGTCCCAGAGAACAATACAAAAGCTGATAGAATGACCGGACATCTAAACTTATAAGCAGGGGTTACAAATTGTTTCTCATTGATTTATTAGACTGGACCGAAACATTCGGTGTCTGTGTTGATTAATTTCCTGATACCTGTATTTCACACGAGGTGCGTCAAGTGATCTAAGTAGATAATGCTTTGGGTGGTGGCTGAGTTCGAGTCTCACTTGAAACACTATCACTCACTCAGTGAGGATTGCAGGTACATTCAACTAACGAATCAGTCCCAAATACAGAGAAATACACTTCCTGGTTGAACTCCACTCTTAGTCACCATCTACTAAACAACAAAGTAGGTCATAAGCTTTCTAAAACACAAAGCAGGTCATTTCAATGGTATTGACAGAGTCAGTTAAATGTGACATAATTCCAGAAATAAATGATTACTGAGTTATGTACAGCATACAACACTAAGCAAAGGCTATAATTAATAATATATCACCACTTCTATCAATTATAACATAAGAGATTATAATTTCTTTTTTTTTATTATTCATGAGAGAGAAAGAAACAGAATAAACAAGCTAGAAGATTAATGAATTCACATTGATTTTCTCTACCACGTGACAACTAACCTATTAAATAATTAACTAACTAACTAACTAATTCACAGACTGACTATAACAATCCACGCTTGAATCATAGACGTAACACGAGGAAGAAAGAAACAAACAAAATATTCGAATTACACATTACCCAAGATTATGCACACACCAAAAGGCAATGGGGGGGGAGGAGAGAAGGACACGATAATACTTCAATTAATATAAGCAGTAATAAAAATAATAATATGACAAGTCACGACTATAAAAGTGCATTTATTTCTTATTAAATCAAGGATAAATCACGCGAATAGATTTGCTTGTTCGTCTTTTCCTCTCAAAAGCTTACGATTAATAAACAAATAAATTGCTTTTTCAAGTATTGGTTTTGTAGGGATTTTGTTTGATTGCATGGAGGATTTAATCATGAGCTGACATCAGTTAGAGAACCACTGGAATACCTAGGAGTACTGGACAGCTGTTTCGTCCTAGTTTGGGACTCTTCAGCAGTACGCACCCACCGGGATTCGAACCCAGGACCTTCTGGTTACAAGGCGAGTTCGTAGACCATTGAGCCACTGGGACCCGATCCAATGGTTCTTGAATTCTAACTTCTGCCAATTCACGACATAGCGCGACCACTTCGCAATGTCTTCTTCGATGAGTTACTGCCTCAACTAGGACGAAACAGCTGTCCAGTACTCCCAGGTTTTCCAGTGGTTCTCTAACTGATGTCAGCTCATGATTAAATCCTCCATGAAATAAATTGCTTATTCAAGTGTTGGTTCAAGTGGGATCATGAACTGAAATCATTTACAGAGCTACTGAAAGAAAACCAGGCAATAATGCATAGTTGTGTCGTCCTAGTGTGAGATCCTACGGTAGTAGTACGTACCCGTCACTACAACACAAGGGATAGTCTGAATGACTAACTTCAACAGAGAACAGAACACTGCACAGAAGTGCTGTGGTTCCCTCCTTGTAGAACACAAAGGAAGACGAAAGGGTGGAAAAGAGATTCAAAAGAACGATAATAAACAGAAATGTGAGGGAGAAAGAATAGTAACATGGGAAACAATAGAGTTTTATTAGATATGGCAGATCACAAAAAATGTACGCAACTGCACCACTGAGAACGATTTCGACCCATATCACCAATTGTCTTCAGCCAATGGATTTTAACCATCCCGAGGACGTCAAACACGAAGTCTACACCTCCCTACGTGGTTCAAACCACCTGTTAGAGATCCCATGGACGAATACCGTGTTTCGGTTTGACTATCGTCAGCTCTTTCCCAGCCTAATCCGATGTCAGTTGACATTGCCTGTCGAGGGAGGCGACAGCTAGTATATGTGTTACGCATGCCTAGCCATCTCAATCGATGTAGCTTCATAACCTCATCGATTGATTTTCCCTCCTTACTTAACACTACACACCTAACCTTAGTATTACTCACTTCATTATACCACCTAACATGGGAGACAGAGCCAAGACACCTATGATCGAAGACAGAAACTCATTTCATACCTTCCCCTTTCAATGGTTATGTCTAACAGCTACAAAGAAAGTGTGGGCGAACAGATGAGTAGTACACACGTCCTTTGATAAACGGATATCACG